CCTGTGTCTTGATACAGCCCCGACTTTGTTCTGCCTTGCTGCTTAATTAAAAAACTAGTTTAAGGTGTCCTGCATGTGTGATATATATTTTTCCCTATATGAAGTCATTCTTTTTTGAACAAAACTCAAAACAGAGCCTATTAATCTTTCAGTCATTTCTACCTCCCCCCCCCAAAAAAAAAAAAATACCACATGCATACTACCCTTTAGGGCTAAGCCCCGGGTGTTTCAAATGTCTGGCTCCGCCTCTGCTGACAACCCTTTTAAACAAACCGTGCTTGCTCGTTTTTCTTCTGATTATACTTTCATGAACTTTAACACTTAACATGCTAACTAAATCCTGTAGAGTCTGCGATGTGGTTCTTGGATTTTTTGCTGTTTCTGTCACCAAAGAGGTTGTCACACTTGTTGATGAGCAGCTGATCGAGTGCATTTGATTAGCAGCACCTTTTTTAACAAGATTACAATGAGTCCTGTTAAAACTCTGATTTTCTCATGACTGTAAATGTATGACTTTAACGGTAGACTATGAGACCGTAAACACATTAACTAATTAACTAACTAATGAAAAATAATATTCAGGTAAAAATGTTATATTAAAAAATATAACTTTTTTGCCAATAATTTAAAGGGCTCTGTTCCCACAATGTGTGTCTTTATGTATAAATTAAACCCCATTATTATACTGATTTAATTTCTGTTTCCTCTCGATTACGATCAAACGTGACATAATCGTTATACTCCCCGTCTGTTGTCCTTTTGTCTCGATTTATAGGTTTTTCTTTTATTAAAATTTTCTGAATGTGATTCTTAATAAAAGTCACCTTCACAACCTTCCACCATGATCTGGCGTTATATTTTAAAATCAAATAAACGGTGATTTCAGCATATTTGGCCACAAAACCTAATTTCTGTCTCTGCTGCTCATCCACCTCCCCGTGTCCGTACTCAGTCCTTTGAATCCAAGTCAGGTACAAAGTTTTCCACACTCACATTAATTTTAATGACTGCAGTCAATGTTCTTTGATGCAGGTCCTGCCACTTGCTAGGACTTGACATCTTCTTAACACTTTTAGGCAGTTATTTGGGCACTTATTTTAAAGACCCCATTTAAAAGAATGGGAATTTCAATGGTCCCCCAGAACATAAAAATTGCATGCATCAAATCATTGAGTGAAACTGCTTAAAAGGCCTGGCAACTTTGCCCTGGAAAAAAAAGGTTTCTTTCTCAGAAGTTATACGTCTACTTCACTTGTGAAGAGTTACACAGCATTTTGGCTTCACTATCGGCTCAATCAAGAGTCCCGACACAATCCTCCTGACTCATTCCACCAGACCACTGAAGAAAAGCCAGTTTAATTAATATGGGTACAGTAAACTAAGAAAAACAACACTACGCATATTTATGTCTATCCCCAAAATGTTGAAACTTGACTGTGCACTTGTAACAACATGACTTATTAATTTGTTTCATGGTTTGGCTGCAAAAATGTCTGGCACAACTTCACCTACTTCCAAGGTGCATGGAGAGGATGAAAGAATTCACAATGCAGGAACTCCAGCAACACTTGAGGGAAGATGTGGCCTGATGAAGGCCCTGATGAAGGCCACAAGCCGAAAAGTGTCAGTCAATTATTAAAGTTGTTCATCTTCCCTCAAGTGTTTCATGGTTTGGCTGCCAGAAAGCATCTGATTGATTCATTTGGGTTAAGAGCGGAAAATGCGGTCCCTCTCATTATGAAATCCTCCAACAGAGTTTTATTCAGGAATCTTTCTTTCCATCACAATGATGCATATGCCTCAGTGTTTCTGTTTGCTTTGATCAATTCAAGATCTTTGACTAAAGAGCCTCAACAATTCCAGATAACATCAATATTAATTCAAAAGTCTCAAAAAGCAAAATCCTTGCTACAAAATTACAACCACGTTACCTCAACTCAAGATAATCAACTCAATCAGTATACCTTTAAGTCAGAGGTGTCCAACTCCAGGCCTGAAGGGCCGGTGTCCTGCAGGTTTTAGATCTCACTCTGGGTCAAAACACCTGAATCAAATGATTAGTTCATTACCAGGCCTCTGGAGAACTTCAAGACATGTTGAGGAGGTCATTTAGCCATTTAAATCTGCTGTGTTGGATGAAGGACACATCTAAAACCTGCAGGACACCGTCCCTTCAGGCCTGGAGTTGGACACCACTGACTTAAGTCAACGCTTCAAATTTCCTACTAAACATGCTAACACTATGCCTCACTATATAAATAAATGCATCCTTTAGACTTGAAGGACGTAATGTTTCATTTGATTTCAATGGCTCGCCGGTCTATAATTGACCCAGTATCTGAAACTGTCATGGACCTGGGTTGTTGACCTAGTGTTTTGAGTTTGTTTGGCTTCATGAGGCCTTTTGTTTTGCATTGTTTGCTCTTGTTCTTTCTTCATGGAGTATTTGTGATTATTATGTTCAGTTTGAGAGCCCTGGGGTTATTTCTTCGTACATGAAGTTTTGTTCCCTTTCGTGTCCCGTTTGTCTCGGTCTGTGTGCATCCTCCCCAGAATCTCCTGTGTTAGTTATTTGTGCCTCCCTGTGAAGTCTCTCTTGTCTCCCTGTTTATTCGCCTGTTTCCCAGTCATGTCTCTGTGTGTCTGTCTGGTTGCTCTCGCTGTCTTGCCCCCTGTCTGTGTCTACCTACTCGTCTCTTTCTCCTCCCTCTGTTCCCTGTATTCAGTCAGTCTGCGGCTCAGTGCATGTTTCTTGTTTTATTCTGACAGTCTCTTGTCCTGTGTGCATCTTGTTCAGTTTTGGTTCCCTTGTCTCGTCAGTTAGATTATGTCCAGCCGTGTTTCCCAGGTGTTTCCTCTCTGCCCTTAATCCTGGTGTGTATATGCCTGTGTCTCCTCCGGCTTCTTCTTGATCTCCCTCATTCCTCCGGCTGTGTATTCTGGCTGTTTAGTTTCTTAGTGTCATTCCAGTTTAGTTTTGTTTAGTTTTTCAGTTAGCTTAGTTTCTGAATCCAGCAGTAAAGTGAGTTCAGCCCTGCATGTGTGTTCTGCGTTTTTGGGTCCTATTCCTGCCTGCCTCACACAGCGTTATGACAGAAAAAGGATGTTTTGACACAAATTCTTTCAATTAACACTTGTTCTGTGTCTAGATAACTGACAGTAGTAAACATAACATGGTTTGACTTTGACCACTGCAGAAGAAATTAATAATTGGATCCCCTGGTACTGGATATTTTTGTCTTATGAACCACGTCAGTAGCCAATTGAATCAATTTCAGTTTGAGTCCTGGAAATAGATCTATTAGTCTCTCATTAGTCTTGATTCTACTTGTGTTAAGCTCTATTTATGTCAGATGATATATAAACTATACTGACCATTCTCAGATCCCTGTCCGTCTTTCGGCAATAAAAAGCTGAATAGCTCCAAATTTCCTTCCAACTAATGAAGCCAAATCAGGGGTTATATTAAAGTGTCACACCCACCCTGACAGCTCACATAAAAAGGGAGCGTAAGTTTTGATGACATTTCTATATTTGTGGTATTTGTCATTTTGTATTTTGTTTTATATTAGTGGAGCATTTTGTAGCTGTGGTTTGAAAAGTGTTCTACATATTTATGCACTATTTCTTTTTCTAAAAATGATACTAAAGCCAGACAAAGACAGGAAGCCAGAATGTCCATATGGACAAAAACCAAAATCGGAAAACAACAAGCTGTGACAGAGCTGGGTGGTTTTTATGCACTATACTAGCAAAATCATATAATAAATAGCAATAGTTAAGTCAAGCCTCTTAATTTTTCATTTTTTAAATAAGGACCGCTTTACAGCAGTCGTTTGTAATGTGGCCTAAAGTCACACAATTGCTTTTTTCGTTTTGTTGTTTGCCACTCAGAGTCTTAAATTGCAATTAATATCTGTTCAAATAGGATGACTCAATTTCTTCACATCACGTCATTAAATTAACAAACTCTTTACCCCCGAGTTTCAATAATTTTAGGGATGAGAGCGCGCAGCAAGAGAGTCCTTCATTTTTTTTCAATCACAATTTATCACAATTTATGTGTAATCATAATGGCGTTAATGACTTTCAACCAGCTGGAGTTTTGGTAATTTGCTTTTATTTCAATCAGGCAAAAATGAGACAGCCTCATAAAAGTTTTCTATGCTGTTATTTCACTGACTGCACGGAAACTCTTTGGCATTTTCTTTTCTATTACAGCTACTTGATCCTCCCCCTGGTTGAACATAAAAATATTAACTTGGAGGCAAGTTAGAAAAACAATATTAAAACGAATTAAGGCTATCAATTTATGGTTTTATTAAGCTTGTGTATCAAAGAAAAAAACCCAAAGACATTGACAGTAAAATTAACATCATAAATAACGGGTGTTTTGCTAAACTCCAGTGACTCACCTCTCCGTTTAGAAAGCAGTAAAACACTGACACAAAGAACCCCTGCAAAATAAGACACATTAGAATTAGAAGCAGAAAATGTGCCTGTATTATGTAATGGCACTGTAATTAGACGCAATCATTATAAAGAAAAGGCAAAACAAATTTCCAAAGCAAAATATAGAATTTTTAAAGCTCTACTCGAACCCCCCCTCCCCCTACTCAGCCCTACATTTAAGCACAGGAGATAAATAAATAAATAAATAATAGCCACAGAGCAGAAATCATGCCCACATGGCTCTGTTATTCCTGACAGCTGAGAGCACTGAACATGAGGTAGGAGGGCCATGTTGTGTGTAAGCGCAGCCAGGATGCTACTTCAAATCATCTTCCCACAAGAAGCCTTAGAACCTGAAAAGTCGCTCTTTAAAGTAGCGATACAACTCTGAGATAAAAACACATTAAGACATCAGAATGATTCATATTTTTAGCTTTGTGGGCAGTGAGTGTGAGCTTTCAAACTCTGGCCACTGTCACACTGTATTATTAATCATAATCTCACCTGAAAAGACTGTAGAAAGGAGTTGAAATAGATGAACACAATTTGCGAGATGTCATCCTCCCCCGGATTCACAAAGAAGAGCATGTAGGTGATGCCGAGCAGAGGTAGCAAGACTAGTGTTGCTTTCACGGCTTTTCTGTGAAGACAGAGTTGGAGTCTCATTTATAGAATTGCAAAAATTGAGCCTTGAATGTCAGCCCAGTGGATTCTAGAAAATGCATGACTCTGTGTCAGCGGCAGACAGGGATAAAAATAAAAATGTCACCCTCCACCACATGGATGTTTCAGATTGGAAGATGGGCCCCTTTTCAGGGGTAGCAAAAATATGTATGTCACATATAATTCTAGCTCTTCTGTAATAATTTTGACAGTGTGAATAAGAGCAAAGTTTAGCTTTCTTGGTTTTGCAATGCAACAATAAGCCATCACATCTATAGATGAAAATGTGGATGATTTATGTCCTCCTCCACTGCATCCATAAACCTCCTCTGTGGTCCTGTCACATGTCCAACATGTCCACTACGCCTCCTCTGAGCACGTCCAAGCCAATTTTGCTTCGGCTCTCTGAATTTGTTTTTCAAAATAAAGCTCAAACTGTCCCATACTTTGAAATGTTCACAAGAGGATCCAATAAGCAGACACAGCAGGCACTGGCAAGTGGATGGATAAACTAGAAACCTTAATCTAGAACTCATAGACAACCAAAAGCAGTGTGAAGTGTGATGGAAAAACTCAAATGAATCCAAATCCATGGAATCCAAAACCCAACAGGAGCAATCCAAAACACAGGGAGGCAGCAGAAAACAAGGGAGTCTCGAGAACAGGCGAGAGATGTAACAACGCCTATACGGACTAGGGAGAGGGATAATAAGACACAGGAGAAATCAATCAAATCAGGGTGGAAAAAGAAAGTGAAAACACATAAAGCCACATGAGGAAAACAAAAGGGCAAGTAAAAGAAAGAAGGACAAAAAAACAATACTTGCAGAACAAAATACACACAGGCTCAGACAGGGAAAACTCTGAAAGCACTCACGTGAGAAAAAGATTCAAGATCATAAGGGCAACAGCCAAACCTAATTCAAGGAATAACAGAAAAGACCATGGTGGGGACTTTTAATATGAGCTATGACAGTCCCATAATTTAGGGATGACCACAAACCTTTCTTTGCCCTTACTGATTATAATTTTCATTTTAAAACAATCGTTTTTTTTAAGGTCAAGAAGTTCAGCTTGAAACCCTTGTGCTTCATTTGCTTAAATTTGTATGGCTCACAACGACCACCAGCAATCCAGCCCCAGCCTGAAAAGACTACACTCAGATTGTCTGAGCCGTGACACTGAAAACACTCTGTGCGCTTGAAATAATCCCCACTGGAGAAAAACACACTTGACACAGTAACAGCAGGTAGGAAAACAAGCTCACTATTTTAGCAATTTCAGCCATTCCAGATACACAACCTAACAGCATAATTCAGGTATGCACTCAGCTCGTGCCTCTCAAGCGCACGCTAAATCTCTGCTCTCTTCTCAGGCACACAGAATCAGACAAACTCAAGGTTTTTCCCCTTTAACTGTTACTAGTGCGTGTAAATGAAAGAACTTCTTGCATGAAGTATTGCAACTGAGTTCACTAAGGTTGAGGCGTTTGTCTTGAATCTTTATTTTATGGGTAAGAAGCACATTTCTAGTACTTTTGCAGTGTCCTGTAATAAGTTACAAGACAAGACAATATACTTATTTTGTTTCAGGCTTATATTATTATTATTATTATATACTTTATTAAGCACACTGGTTACCAGGTTGGACCTGTGTTGAACCCCTGTTTGCCTTTAGAACTGCATTAATCCTTTGTGGCATAGTTTGAATAAGGTTCCTCAAACTTTCCTCAGAGACTTTGATCCGTTTTAACATGACGGCATCTCGCAGTTGCTGTAGATTTGTCAGCTGCACATTCATGATGTGAACCTCCCATTCACCAGATCCGAAAGGTGCACTGTTGAATTGACATGTGGTGACATTTGGCATTTGCGAAGTGAATTTATTGTCATGTCGAAGAAACCACTTGGAGATGATTTGAGCTTTGTGCCGTCAGATGATGGGTACACTGTAGTCATGAAGGGATGGAGGTGGTCAGTGTTTAAATGCTGATCATGTAGTACAACAGGGCCCAGTGTATGTCAAGAAAATATCCCCCCTACACCATCACAGCACCACCAAAAGCCTGAACCATTCATACAAGGTTGGATGGATGCTTTCATGTGGTCTATGACTCTACCATCCAAATTTCACAAGACACCAAATCACAGCACGGTTTTTTAGTGAAGTTAGTTTCTTTTCCCACAAAATTTCCAATATTTAGCCTTAAAGTCATAAGGCAAAAGTCACAACCACAATAACAGATTTCTTCCTTAATAGCAGTTTGATTTAATTATCATTAACACCGGACCCTTTGATCACCAAACATCTGTTCACTGATAGGATATTAACGCTCTTAGATTTGCATGAAATGAGGTCTGATGCTGATGATAAAGGTTTAAATGAGTCTAATCACTCTAAAAATGTGCTTCTTCTGAAACACTCCTTAATGTCCTTGAAAGAAGGAAGACAAAGTGTACTGCTCCTAAATTTATTTGCAGTTACCAACAGAATCAACTCACCTGTACTGTATTGTTTCTGATGTGGTTGAAGCTCTTAGTTTGGTCATAAGAATTCGAACTATATTGAAGAGGAAAACAAAGTTTATCTAGAAGAAGAAGACATAAGGAAATTATTACTTTAAAATGCTGTGCTAATGACTTATATTATACAGAGGGGGAAAATATCAGACAGCTCAGTCAGTGTTGAGCTGGGAGAGAAGAAGTAACACTCGTCACAGCATATAATCTTCCTTAACAAGACAGTGATTAATCATATTACATGTTGCTAAGGACTTACATAAGCACAAACATTTATGTGAAATCAATTTCTTATTTTCAGAAGTCTTTTGTTTGGAAACCCTTAAGACTACAGTTCTGTGCAAAAGTCATGAGTCATCCCTCATTTCTTTATATTTAGCTTCAAAGGAGTCAGACAGAAGTTTTTCTTTGGACATTGAGTCCTTTTTAATTCATTTTCAGTCCAGTCCTTGTACCTGACCATTTTCAGTGGGATGCTTTTTGTTTGTCAGTTCACTTAATGCTGACCACTGGCCATATGTAAAAACATGAAGCTGTGTCCTGCTTTGGGGCTGTATTTTTCATATGGAATCAAAAATGCAGAAAAGTGAAATTAATTGATATTGATTAACTATGTAATATCATATCTAAAGCATCTGATTGGCAACAGCTTGGGTTTTTTTTTTTGTATTTCAAACAATCTATATACTAAAGTCTTACCTGGATAGAAAAACACAGTGGAATACTATTAGTCATGGATTGGCCTCCACAGAGCTGAGACCACAACATTGTTGAAAAAGTGTAGGATCATCTTCATGGAGAACAGAACAAAACACAACATCCAAAGAAAAGCTTTTCATGTCCTTCAAAGAAGCCTAATTCTGAAGACTACTTAAAGAAATTACAAAAAAAGCTTGTCTAAAAGAGTCCAGACTGTCCTGAAGAATACTTGAAAGTCAATATGTTGGTATGACCAGCTGGTCGTGCTGCCTTTGAAGCTTGCTGGTATTGTAAAAGTTCTTTTTCGAGCCTGAAGGCTGCTTAAAGGAATTGCTGGAAAGCTTGCCGAAGAGAGCTCAGGCTGCGTTGAAGAATAAAGGTGGTCACACCAAAAATGTTCCATGTTTGCACATTTCAATAAATGGCTGCACAAAATATTCAAAAGTGAGGGGCTCAGTACTTTTGCACTGTACTGCTTTTGTGACTTTCTAATCTAGTCACTGCACAGAAATGCAAAAAAAAAAAATCATTATAGGGCAGATTTTCTATGTTAATTAGCAAATAATGTCAAATTGATGGCAATAAATTTACAGTCCGTTTTCTTTGTTGTAGCTCACCAAAAGCACAAGAATAACAGGTCCCTGGTAAATGTAGTCCATGTATTTTCCAGGTTCTTTACCAAACCAGCATCTGTTGACAGGAAAAGAAGAAGAAACGTACCGTTAATTAAAGAAATTATCCAGAAAACATTCTAATTATGTGGCCACAAATTATTAGGGGATTTCTTACTGTTCATTTTCATAATACAGCTTTCCTATGGCCCAAGCCACAATTATAGGACACGGAATACCTGGAGTAACAAGGAAGAGTCGTGTAAGTGGAAATAAAATAAAACGTATTTGGTAAACAGATTTTTTTTTTCATGGCATTGAAGAAAGAAGGTCAGAATAATAAAGACAAAAATCAAAGATTGTTTTTTTTTTTCTTTGCTTTTCGGTTTTTGTTTTGTTACATGCACAGCCATGGGGAGGGGGAGGGGATAACAAACTAACACGCTTCAACTACAAAGAATCAAGTTAAAACAGAACATGCTCCAATTTTTACTGCCCTCAAGGGTTATAGAGTAACGGCAACAGTAGCATAATCTCTGTCAAAAGGGGCTTCAGAGTCATACCATATAACTCATGAATCACAACTGCTTCCCCTAGTCCAGCATGTAATGTATATGTGGAAAAAGTTTTGATGTTGATGCTTTGACAAAGTAAATAGAAGGTTTTTCACATATAAAACAAACAACATGCACGTTCAAATCAAAACAATCTTTTTTAACTGCTTTAATAAAACAAAAAAGGACCAGTTCACCATACCTCTAAAATCAGTCACTGCTGAATAAAGGCCATGCGTTAACGTGTCAAATCAGCGTGTTAGGTGCCAGGCCTGACAAAGTAAGACCAAGTGTGCTTGAATAGGCTGAGATTTCTTATAAAAAGCATTGACCTCTCCAGAAAAGAGCAACTGCACTGACCGTATCAATCAAACGCGAATGCAATCACCGTTCAGAGCATACTAATTTTATTAGCTGTCTTCAGACTGTTTTTCATCAAATTTTTCGTTACATGTAACATATAACAGCTTTGCAGGAGGAAAATGTCCACAAATCGGATGAAATGTTCATAAATCTGAAAAAGTATCAGTAAAATCACTTTAAATAAAACACACATCAAAAGCAGTTTTGATCCCAGCTCATCAGACCTGTGGTAGCGGACAGATTTCATGCGTCCCACTTCTATCACCTCCTAATGAAATTAATTAGAAGCCTCTCCAAATGAAACCCAATGAGAAAGCACCTGCAATAACCCCATTTAAAATAAAGCATATATTATATTGTACATACTCTATGATTGTTAATATGAAATTAACGACTTAAATGGATAATACTTTATATATGGAGGTGGAGTGGATGAGTGGACCTGCAAATAGGAACTACTCTGCTAATCTAATCTTTTTGAGACAAGCTGCCAGTACTTACTATTATATTCTTATTAAAATCATATTAGAGAATTAAAAATCTGATGAATATGTGTGAGATCTTTTTTTTTATTTCTATTTCAAAGCTAACATTAGCTTCCCAATAATATCATCCATCTGTCATTCACCGTCATCTACTCTTTACATCTGCTGATAAGACTTCATATTTTAATCTTGTGCTCACAAAGCTCCATTAACTCATTTTCTCATGACCTAGTTTGAAGTAAAGTACGAGGGGTTTTTTCTTTCTGCTGAGCACACTATGTCCATTACATAAACAGAAGGAGAAAATCTCAGTGTTTCCGGGAAGCATGCGAGCAGAATACTTTGTGTATTTCTGTCCCTGATGATGTTGGCTCTGTACAGCATATAATATGCTTGATTTATCAGTCAAGGTGAGATCATTTATAGGGTCATGATGGGATATCTGCTGTATATTCAGGACTCAAAGTCAAGCACGCTGCATGCCGGTTCTTTCATTAAATTAAAGTCTTATCTCGGATATGAACCACTAAAGAGTTTCCCTCCTCTTCACTGGAGAAGTGATTGTACTCTCGGGCACATGTTCAGTTCAAACAATAACGCCTGATAACAGTGTTTTGTCACAACCTGGTTTTCAATTAATGCAAGAAAAGTGAAATTCTCCTTTTGAGTATATGTATTGTTTGACAAACTGTTCTTTTTCTAATTTTGAGCACATTCACCAGTCACTCTGTTAGTTACAGCTTGCTAGCGCCATGTTGGATCCAATTTTGCCTTTAAAACTGCCTTAATATTTCATGGCATAGATCGAACAAGGTTGAATTCCTCAAAGCCTTTGGTCCATACTGACATAACAGCATCACACACACATCAAAACCAAACGTGTGCCATAGTCAGGTCTACAGAAGACAAGCGAGTATTAAAGGAGTGACGTTTTGTCACTGTGGCAGGTAATTTCAAATGCAGTGTTCCTATCAGCTTAACAAACAAACTGTCTGTGTTCAGTTTATTTCGCAGTTTTTTTTCTAGCTGAAGGTCCAGCTGCTGTATTTCACAGGGAGAGAAAAGAAAGAGCGCTAACGTCACTCAGAGAAAGATAAGAAAGGCGGGACAGGAGATGAAGAACAGAGGTTAGATTTAAAGGTAAGGACTGCTCAGTAGTGTTTGATAAATTGGATATGCAAGTTTTCAAATTTTTTAATCAGGTATGTACAGGTCTGTAAATGCGACATGTTTTTGTTTTGTTTTTTCATATTGTGAAATATGCTGCAAAACAAACTGAGCTAGACTAACTGTGCTATACAACCTCCAAAAAGGCACCAAAAAAGGTTCTTCTATGGCACCTTTATTTTTCTGAGTGTAGGACCTGGCATCCACATATGTGGACATCACATTTTGGGTTATTTAGACCAAAATACTCAGTTTTGCTCTACAAGGGCCTGATATCCTTTTACGAGGACATTATACTGCTACTGTTCTATCAAAATTTTAAACGAATATCCTCATATGCGGCTCTCATTTTTCATAAAAAGAAAAACAATGTAAAAAAAAAATGCATGCCGTGGAAGAGTTTAGGTCTTAGGAGGTTAAAGGTTGCATGAAAATATTCTGCAGGTTAGTGCAGGATAAACTGGTTAACTTGCTGCACCGTGGTGGATTTAGATCAGCTGATCACAGCCGCTACATTAAGAAAACCTACTGGAGCTCTCAATAGAAATTATTGTGAGCTGCGATTCTTTTTCCCCACGCTGAACCACAACTGATAGGGTTCGTGGGCGATCGTGGCTCAAGAGTTGGGAGTTCGCCTTGTAATCGGAAGGTTGCCGGTTCGAGTCCCGGCTTGGACAGTCTCGGTCGTTGTGTCCTTGGGCAAGACACTGCACCTGTTGCCTACTGGTGGTGGTCAGAGGCCCCGGTGGCGCCAGTGTCCGGCAGCCTCGCCTCTGTCAGTGTGCCCCAGGGTGGCTGTGGCTACAATGTAGCTTGCCATCACCAGTGTGTGGATGACTGGATATGTAAAGCGCTTTGGGGTCCTTAGGGACTAGTAAAAGCGCTATATAAATACAGGCCATTTACCATTTTTTTATTTTTTCCCTCACTTGCTGAATCCCACTTTAACCTCTTCGCTACTCATGTTCCTCGTTAGAGGCAAAGTTACCCTCTACAATGTAGGCAACAAAAAACAGAGCTATTTTTCATTTTCCTTCTCTTTTTCTGCTCATGTTCTCTTTAACTGAGTACATTTAAGGATTATTTCAATTTACATAAAAATTTTATACTTATATACTAGTATTTTTTTATTATCACATTGCCACCTCTGTTCATGCTGTTTCCACCATTCTGACATTGCTGCAGAACATATTGAGAGTCATTAGGCCAGACAACATTTTTCCAATCTTCTGTTGTACAATTTCGGTGAGCCTGTGTGAATTGGAGCCTCACTTTCCTGTTCTTAGCTGGCAGGAGTGGCGCCGAGTCTGATCTTCTGACGTGGCTGCAAGGTCTGAAGAGCTGTGCATTCAGAGATGCTCTTCTTGGTTGTAATGAGTGGTTACTGCTGCCTTTCCACTAGCTTGCAGCAGTCTTTCCATTCTCCTCTGACCTCTGATATCAAAGAGGTATTTTCACCCAGGGAACTGTTTTTTGTTTTGTTTTTTTAATCGTTCTCTGTAAATTCTCAAGAGGATTTATTAAAAAATCCCAGCTATGTTCAAAGTCACTTAAATCACCTTTCTTTCCCATTCTGATGCTTGGTTTGAACTTCAGCAGGCCGTCTTGATCATGTCTACATGTTTAAATGCATGTGTGCCCTGTTTGCTGATTTAATGATTACCTGATTATGTATGTCCTTCAAGAATCAATAACACAAATAAATAAATATTTGACATTTGTACGAGCCGCTTTCCAATTTTTTTTCTGCTGTACTTTAATCTTCTAAAGAAATCTCTTTTAACCTTATCAGCTAGTTTTTAGAGAGATCAGAGTATAGTAAAATGGAAAAAAAAAACTTCTATAAATACAGTGACAGATTTTAATAACACAATGGATAAAAATATCATTGCTGTGCCCTGTTTTTAGATTTATTCAAGGCCTTTGAAATGGTGCATTTTACACAATCCACTCATTTAAAAGTATTGGTTCGTCAAAGGAAAGCTTATGTTCATTGTGTCCAAACAGATGATAGCTTGGCTTAAGGTAAAGGTAATGTCACCTAATAATACTTTGTCTTATTTTGTTTCATTTTACCATTTTATTAAACTAAAGTCTGTATATTCAGCCTTTTTATGCTTTGAATAGAGTTTATAAAGCACTATGGTTTTTCCATAGAGTATGAAATGTGTTTCATAAAAAAATGCCTTGAGCTGAATATAGCATGACAAATGCATTGATAACAATCATACTTACACCAGCCGATAAACAGGAAGACCCACTTTCTCAGCTTATCAGTTGAATATGTCATTACAATGGCTGTGTGAAGGTAGCATCCTTCAACAAACATCCAGAAAAAGTTTGTCACCACAAAGTAGTTGTATATTGTCGTTATTAAGCGACACCAAGGCTGAAAAAAAAAAGAATTCAGAAAAGATTTTAAAGACTTTGTATTGGTAAATTAACACCTCAGTGATACTTTCAAACCCCATAACACATCACTACTGTTACCTCATTGCTCTCATGGATATTGTGGTCAATCAGCTGAAGCAAAAACCACATAACATTCCTCAGTATAAAGGTGGTGATTAAGTTCCAGTGGATGATGTTTCGAAGACATCGTATGCTCCTAAAACAATAAGCCAAACACAGATGGCTGATTAAGATGTTTTGAAAAACAAACTCAAGTCAGGTCAGTTTAATTACTGCATCTAGACCGTTTAAGCACACGACACATGAACCAACGTGCTATCACAGAAACAATACAAAATGATTTAAGAACAAGAAATAAAATATAATTATTTAAGCTACTAAATTAATGAAAATTAATGAAATTAATGAATGAAAATGGCACAATAAATTAAAACTACAGTAATTTGAGCTGAAAAGAAAAGCTAATGAGAAGATGTATGTTTTCAGTTGGATTGGGTTACTGAGGAAAATGATCTAATCCAGAAACAGAGACAATTCCAAGGCTGCGACTAAGACTGCAGGGTGATCTGCACAAGCCAATTACTGTAAGACGTTAATCAGCGGACATAAGTGAGTAGGGCTGTGCGATATGACCAAAATCTCATATCCCAATATAAGAATTCTATCGTCCGATAACGATATAAATCACACAAATGTAACATTTTCTGTAAATTCTGTGAATCTCGGGCAGCTCATCTTGCCTGAAGTGTTTCAAGCTGCGCGTTGCGTACCTGGAGTCGAGTGTTTTAACCGATGCATGAAACGATACATTTTTAGGCATAAGTTGTAACAGCCCCTGTTTTCTTTGTGAGTATTTATTACACGGCGTGCTGCGGGGAAACGCCTGCTCTAACGTTTGAGTCTAAGGTTTATTTTTTAGCACCTGGTGGATCTTTTTTACTTCTCTAAATAATCTGCTCTTTCACGTGATTCAGCTTATTTTGAAAAGTCTCAACAGGATCTTGAGCTTTATTGTGAAAGGTTTATGTGGAACATAAACAAGCGGACACGCGATGGTGTTACCGTCATTGTTGCTAACAACAACGCATAAAAACAGGCGCTTGTCCGTCCACAGTGTGGTTATATTAAATATAAGAGAAAGAGAGAACTTTAAGAAATTAACATAGCCACTACAGTGACCATCAAAATAATGAAAAAATATTGCCTTAAACAGTTTATTTTGCGACACCACGAAACAAACGATAGCGTCAAATAAAACGATAGACGTTTTTATATCATCATCTGATGTATATCGTTACATCCCATGCCCTATTAGTGAGTGGCATGGGATGTAGGACTGTAAAATGTCTGATAGATAACCTGGAGCGAGCCCATTCAACCTCTTATATGTGAGCCACAATATTTTGAAATTCAACCTGTATGTCTCAGGAAGCCAGTGTTGCGATTTAAGACAGGGCTAAATACGACTGTGCTTCTGTGTACCTGTCAGAAGTCAGCATTTTGAACCAGTTGTACAATGCAGCATTATTTCTAAGAAGTGAGATCGTATGAAGAAAAAATTTAGAAAGCTGTCGCACAATGCAGGAGAACGACTTGGAAAGATAGAGGCAGTGTGGTTAAGGACAAAACTGATAGTGCTGAACAGGATCCTTCATCTGCTGGAGTAAGGAAAAATAAATAAAGCATTTGTTTCTCAAGGCCTTGACAGCCTCCTGATATGTGTTTAGAGAATGTCTTAAAATTTCACAAGGCACTTTTTTTCTGCTTCTTTTGTGCTCTCCTGCATCATTGTCTAAGTGTCAAAAGTTTAAAAGTAAAGGACAGTTTATTCACAGTGAGATGACATTATAGGCTGGAATATTGACAGAATAAGTTTATACTTGGGATGAAGCCGCTGCAATGGTTTGCCCGGTTATTGGCTTTTACACCTTTGATCAATTTTCTGGCAGTTCTGTAATTGCAGTCAGTGTGTGAAAACTGAGCCTTTTTTAGGCCAATCAATTTTTTCCAGTTGCCAGTTCCTGTTTGCAGGCAATTATTACGAGATTAGTTTCGAACTACATAAAACTTCATGATAAACTAAAAGTGTGCTAACTCTAAAAATGCATGTATAATGTTTGTGTGCTCAGATTTGACACAGTTATGACTCAGGAAACAGGCACTTTCATGCAAATTAGGGTTTTACTTTTTTTAAAAATGTAGACATCTTCAGCTTTAAAACACTGCTGAAAGTTAATCTTTGTACAAGATTTAGCACTGACTTATAGTTGCAGGTGATTCTTCAAATGCATTTCCCGAAATGGCCAAGAATAAATATATATGTGGAGAAGTAGTTGCTGATTTTTCTGTGAAGTCTAGGGAGATTTAACCTCAGAAGACAATAACTATTTTAGTCTCCATGAAATAATCGGTATTTGCTTTCAGAAGCCCATATTGATCTAACCTCAGTACACCAAGTATCTCAGGATGCTGGTGTTTGCCCTCTTTTGTCATAACTGATATATCGAGTGGGAGTGTGTGTGTGTGTGTGTGTGTTTTGAAGCCAGGATATGAAAAGAGATACAACTTCAAACACAAGTGTTGGGAAACGCACATTAGGCCCTTCCGTGCCTGAGTGCTCCATCGCGGCTGAGCTGCAGAGTTCTATTCATCTGACATAAGCAAGTTAATGATAAGCAGTGTGAGTATGATGTGGATTTCACTGATTGTCTTCCATGAGGTGCATACAGGACACGTTTGAAATATGCACTATTTTTGTACTTGCCTTAAGCACAAGAAGAGAATGAAGGCCACGACAAGAGCTCCCACAGAGATGCAATGGCCTAAGTAGTTGATGATCAGCGCTATTTTATAATGCATCGGATATTTTCTCTGAAAAGACAGCCCATGAATTACTTCTTTATTGTTACAGCTGCATAATAGAAACAAAGACAAAGCAATGTATAAACACAGTGGAAGAACCTATCTAGTACATGCAGTTTAACAACAAGAGTGCCTTTTCCCTGCAAATTTTAGATGTTAATACATGTTCAGTGCACTAATGGGTCGTCACAAGTAATTACATGCTTAGGTCGTGACAAGTAGAGGAGTAGTAGAGGAACCAAGAGGCAGTGGCATGCAGAGTGCATTCAAAGCCAAGCTTTTACATTACTGATGCAAATAATCATTCATCTTTAATGAAGCAGTTAGTAAAGTATTCTATGCTTGAATGAAAGTAGGTTTTTTTGTCTTTTAAACTGTTCCATTTGCAAACATTATTGAGAGACCTAATGATCCCAACATTGGTGGAGCAAATACGTTTCCCTTAGGCTGCAGTTAAGTAATTTTAGTCCGAGATTTTTGAATTTGAATGATAACAAGAACATAATTCGTATGACAGGGCTGTCTCTACATCGTTTCAGCTGCTTCTCTATCCAGGCTTCATTGTACTGAGATTTAACTATGATTATAAAAAGCAAATGTCATTGACATACTTCAGTCTTGGCTTAAAATTATCTAAGAATATAGAGCAAGACACAGAATCGGAGCCACAGTACGAGGTAATCAGGCCAAAACTTGCTACATACAATGCATCACTCCTGCAGTTTGTCCTCCGGCTTTGTTTACAAAGACACAGACAATACTGCTCAAAAAGAACATGTTTTAAAGTGGGGGGGGGTTTAACCGCACCGCATCATAAAGGGACATACGGTTCTGTTTGGTTCTTTCTCATTGTTGCATCCGATTGCAATTTTTCTGACGATGATGAGTGTTTTTCTGAAGAACTGCAGGATTTACTCCCGCCTGCAGTCACCTACCTTCTCCTCCAAAATGGGTTCACAGTTGGAGTAATTACTCTTCAGCGCCCATGTTCCGTTATCCATACATTCCCTGTAAGCGCTCCCTGCAAGAAAAGAGAAAACGGTAAAGCTTTGGCATTCTCGCAAACATATTGTTTTAAAATGCACGTTGAGCTATAAAGATAAATACAGATCTTGCATATTCATTATTCCAAAGCACTGCAATCAGCTAAGTCAAGAGCAGGCATAAACCAGTGATTTGCTGTTACAGTAAAGTGTTTTCCAAGTAGGTAAGCTAAACCATCCTTGTAATTTCTTCAGAGCTCAGTTCAAAGTTGAGCACTACTATCCGTCTGACTCTCACCCAGAATACCAATTTAGCAATACAAATTTTTATTCATGGGGGGAAATGCAAAGCCTCTTACTCTGTCAGTTTATTTGCATATCTCTTAAAACCCGCTCCCCATAATCAACTTTGAACTGCATTTTCCATTTTGAAGTTCTTCCTTGTGCATTCAGTGGGTTCTTGTTATCTCTTTAACACTAGGAAATGTATAGAGGGCAGGGGGGAACACAGCAGCATGTTTCTGCCTTTGTATTATTATGATGGCCAATTAAAGTATTCATTTAATCAATTTTATTCCTTTATTTAACTAATTTGTGCAGTTTTCCAAATCCATGCAATCATTAATGTAACTTATTATCCTGCAAGGTTTTGATATTGTCCTGAAAATAAGCATTGTTGAATGAATAAATGCATTCCTCTGAACGTTTAGAAAACTGATATCATACCCAACTGTAAACTGCAACATTCACATTAACCCATCTTAATTCAAACATTCTTGTCAACAACAAAATAAAAAGCGAGGACAACGTCCACCTCAATTTTTGAAGCAGTGGCAGGAACAGAGTAATATCCTTTGCATTCAATTTAATGTTATATAATGTGACAGTTTTGACAGCAGAGACCACAAAACTGCTTGTGGCAGCTACACAAGACAAGGAGAAATAAGATTTAAAATGAGCTTGGTTTAAGCTCTTCACTTGACTGATGGCGACACGTCGTGACTGCAGAATGTTTTGTGCTCTTCATGAGGGAAAATCCTAGTTCTCAGCCATGTGAGAGGGATCGACTTGTGCAGGCATAGTGGCAATTCAGTGAAACCAATAAAACAACTGACTCTGTGGTATACGACACCGTGAATTAGTTAGTTTTTTTTATGTATTCTAAAACCATATTCATCATGTGAAACTGCCTCAGTGTGTTTATTGATCAAGTGCCATGTGGCATTCAGCAAAGTCCCGGTGCATTTAAGGTTCCATGTCTGCAGGGTTTAAAGTTTGATTCAAACAAATGAGAGAACCTGGATTTCTTTTTAAATTTGTTGTTTTTACAAGCAGTGAAGACGGCAAGGATCTCCAACAGGAGCATTACTTCAACACATTGCATTCATTTGGAGGCAACATGCATAAAATAGCTGAAAAGGATCATTTTAGTAAGATAAGATAAGATAAGATAAGATAAAACTTTATTAATCCCTCGGGTGGGTTCCTCTGGGAAATTCGGTTTCCAAAAGCACAGCACCGACAGAAGTTACAGAGTTACAGAATATTATATACACACGCACACATATATATAAATACAGAGACATATATAAATTAAATAAAATATACGAAGGGGATAAATAGAATAAATAGGAATAAAAATAAAAATACAAGTGAATTGTATTTTTTATAATAGTAGAGAGAAAAGGAAGATTATAGCAGTTTAAACTGAACTGCAGAATTAGAAATGTCAGGTGTGGTCGTGCTCGTCTTGCACTCGGGTCCATCTAGCAATCATAAGGTCAGTGGTTCAGTTTTCCACCTCGGCATCCAGCTGTGGGTGTGAAAGCCACTTTAAAGGCATAGAAAAGAGTGCAATGTGAATGTGGCTTGTAGTGCTCAGAGTAGAAAAGACACTGTTTTGAATTAAATACTGATTAAATACTGCATCACCACAACGCCAAGATATTTTAAAAACATGCCGAGACTTTGATGTGTAGTGTAGTGTCACCATAACCACTTCACTCATTACTTGCAGTTTGCAAATTGTCTTACTGAGCTACTGCAATGGTTCTCAGGGAAGTAAATTTAAGCTTGTTGAATTAACAAAACTAGAACAGCAAATTATTTTTATTTCAATCTGTGGCTGCTACTGAGCAGCAAATAAATAAGGTATTAAAAACATTTTTTCACATTTATTACAAAAGAAGAGTAATCACAGGTGTCTCAGTTTAGGCGAATAAAGCTAAAAGTCAGTATGATGACATTAACAGGATGACTGTATTACTTAAAGGTATTAACAGACAAAATTCCTCAAGGCACTTTTGATTCATTATTTTTAATCTGTGTGAAAAAAAACACATATTTTAAAATCTCATTAACTTAATATCCATTTTAATAGGACGTGACGCCTTCAAGTAAGCTAAGCTATTATTATAACTGCAGCACAAAGTACTTTCCAGTTACTTTCCAAGTATCCTACTGTGTTTGCGAATCAATCAGCGAAGGTGAAGAAACAGAGGAAGGGGAGCAGGTTGTGGATTTCTCCCTGTGAGCTACACCACTGAGGCAGGACTAATTCAAAGCACTGGTGCAGGGAGAGCACATTTCTGACAAACCATCTGTGCAGTGGGCATGATGAGGCTTTTTTCTTCGCATTATCCTTACAGGGTATTACATTCACGCAGTTAAAAAAAATCTCTAAATGACTCATTCTGTGAGTTTGGGAGGAGGATTAAAAGCTTCCATGTGAGGTGCTAACAATGCTGTAAGCGACTTAACACTGACCATGCTCCACTGGGGTAAAGACGCACAAGAACATGGAAGAAACGTGCAACTTCCAACTGATATAGTCTTTGCCAACAATGCCCACCTCTTCAGCTAGCCACTCTGCCAGTCCTCTTTCTTGGAGGCATGCAAACAAACACTGTACGGCTGTTCAAAGATTAGAAAAATTGGAAGCTCTAAATGAGGAAAAGAGCGTTTAAATTTAGTCTGGATTGGTCATTCCTGCATAAATGTTCAGATAGATGATTAAAAAGACTAAATATTGCTTGATCTTGATTGAAATTGTAAGATAAATCTGGCAAAAAAAACACCTAATCCAAAGAACAAATCAGTGCCTTTTCACTTCAGCTAAACTTGACCTGTTTCTTTTATCTGTGGGTTGTGCTGTCAGCTGTGCTATACCAACTGTGAAGCGACAATAAACAGGAATATTTCACTTAGTGTTTGCACAAGGCTGTCTTTCTTTTTGTGGTGTTTGATTGCTCTGACCTCCACTTATCCCAGGTGGTTGGGTTAAAAAAGAAAAGAAAAACTTGATACGACTTTTACGCCTCCTCAAAAGACCAAGCCGCTCTTTATAGGTTATCAAAAATTACCCACTTTTTTCTGCCGTTTTGAGAAATAGTCACTAAATCTGAGGTTTTTTATGTGGATAGGTTTCAAAATATAGTGAAATTGAAAGGCTACGATATCTAAAAACTGAGTGAACGCATCACATTAAAGCCATGCACCTGAGCCAGTTACAGCAGCTTTTACTTCGAGCCATATGAAATTTGATTTCATGAGCTGGGTAGATGGAATAAACTAGGCCATACAATAACATGGGAATCTCATAGCTCATTGCACTTTGATATTTTATTCAAGCAGCAGGAACTAGAGCAAAGCTGCCATATTACAGACATCTACGTCCGAGAACAGGCAAGGGCATAAACTCAAGAGAATTAAAGAAAATGAATGAATTATTTACCAGCCAGTTAGTCCAATAAATGATTCTAAGTAAACGGTGGTCCCAGTTTAATGTTTATACTAAACTGTGGCCACTATGGGCCTCTGCAAGACATATATGTGTATATACGTCTTACTTAGTTTTGAAAAAGAAGAACTCGGGTGAGATAAAAAGGCTCATTCTGTTGCATTTATCTTTTAAAATCGGGCTGGTCTTGGTGGTGACTCACTCTTACTAGAATTACTAGGTGGGAAAATTCCATAAATTAATTCCTACATGAACTGTATTGGTATTTATCAATGTAACAGTTAATCCAGCAGTATGTGCAAGCTCTTTAATCAAAATTATGTTTTTATTGCTAAATTATTATCATTGCTATTATCAATGATTTTTCAAATTCCTTTTTTTTTTATAGGGGGGGGAAATTGTTAAACCTTTTTTTTTTTTTTTGTTTAGGTTGCCAATTTCCGTTCTTTTGTTTGGTTTTTTAACCGGAAAAAATGGTCTTAGTGTTCCACTATTATCATTAATTAATTTCTGACTTCTCGGATGAATTCAGTGTGCCGGCTCAAGTTTGGGTAGAAAGACATTAATTCAGTTTGTTAATTGCCTGATAAATAATTTGAGAGATTTCTAAAATATTTGTGCTTCCTTATTTTTATGACAGGTGGCCTAATAAATTCATTAAGTACTGTAAGTCTCGTCGTTTTGAAAAAGAAACTCTGACTGGAACAAAAGGGTGACATCGCTCATTCTGTTGCTTTGGATTTTCAAAATCCTGCTGAATAAACGGCTTCTTTGCATCTACGCTTTGTGGTTCAGCAGCGATACGATGCCACAGTAAAACTACAGTAAAATAAACACATTTTACTCTAAAATGTGTTGTTCTCTTAGTTAAAGTTATGTTTCACTCATTCACTCTTACTAGAGTTGCATTGGGAAACTTACTTTCTGAACCACATGACTGATTTCATTCAGTTAGTTGAGGTTTTTGTTAAATTCACGCAGAGCTTAACAATTTTATTAGACCACCACCCTTGTTCGGTTTATGCCGCAGCTGACCTCAATTAACAGCACTGATAATTACAAAAATCATTATTTTATGTCTCTGTAACAGTTAATCCTCCAGCATGTGTGAGCTCTTACTATCTAACACAACTACTGCTCTTGCTTACTGAAAGTCATATATTGCAGTATCTTAATTTGTCATGCTGTCTTTGTAGCCATTGCTTTCCCCCCATGTGTCCTTTTTTTTCTCCCCTCTTCTTTTTGACTCGTGTTTTATTTTCCATCTCTGCTGTGTTGCATCTGTGT